CAAAGCATGAACTTAATTTTTCCAAAATCGTGCAATGCTGTACCTTCTCTGAATGTGTCAATTGCATTGTCATAAAATCAGCACACTGTATCTAAAGCTTCGATTTGTACACTTTGAAAGATCTATCACATGAGGGGTACTTGCTAGCATTAAGAGCTTTGTCAAAAGATAAGACAAAAGTCTTGCATTTTGTGCCAAGTTTGTGTAAATAAAAAATATGGAAAAAAATCCATTACACATGAAAGTCAAATGTAAGAATTAACAATCAACTTTGAAAAAACACTGTGGGTGGTTTTAAATGTAAAGTTTTCGTTAGGTGTGACATACACACACACACACACACACACCCAGTGGCACAGCAGTAATTGTGCAGGCTTACAATGCTAAGAATCAGGTTCAATACCTGTGGTAAGCAGAACACAGATAGCTCATTGTGTAGCTTTGTACTTAGCAACAATCAAATCAACCAATTCATAGATGTGGTTAGGAATTGGAAAGTAAAAGTAAAATGTATAAATCTAAATAACATCCTTAGATATTGGTTTTAAAGATCAATAGATAAAGATTTACAAATCACTCTCAAACATTGTTCTTGAATTAAATGTTTAAAATCACTGAATTTTGATTGTAAAATTGAAAATAAAATGTAGAAAATTACTATTTATGTTTTAAAAATTGAAAATAACAGAGCAGTAGAAAAAATTAAAAACAACTCTAGCCTTTAATGTAAAGTTGTAAATAAGATTACAAAATAAAATTTAAAAATATCCTTCAAGTGCACTGTACAAAAACTGTAGACATAAAATTACATTTGCAATTAAGATAGAAGATAAAATTTAAAATAAAAAAAAAGTGCTTTCAAACATACTGGATGTGGTGGTGGAAGTCACCAGAAGTAATGAACCAAGTTAACCTGCATTAGGCTGTCCTAAACCTTGTTCTTCAGGAAATTTGGCCATGATAAAGATCCATCAGGCCACTATATGAAAGGATTTGATGGTGCACATGAACAGGATCGAACTTAAGAAAGTAGAAAGGGGGGAAATAATGACAAAAGAAAACTTAAATGAGCGATCTAACAAATCTCTGAAACAAACATTACCGGAGGGATGAGAATGTTAAAAATAACACTCAACTATAAAGACCTTTGTTCTTCCGTAGGGCCTAAACAGTTAAGATGGTCCCTTAGAGGTTGCACCTTCTTTCCCCAGACTAACAATTACAAAATATGTATGACAGTAATTGATATTAGAATAATAATAATAATTAGTATGATTTAAATCTGTGGATTTTCTATCAAATGATAATAATGTAAATTCATCATGAACAGAGAACATTTTCAATACACACACACACACACACAAAAAAAAAATTAAAGGAAAGCTTTCGTGTGGATCTTTGATCACAGTGTTCACTGATCCAAAGCCAGTGCACTGTAAAGTTAGTCCACTTCATGTTAGTAAACATTAATTGTGAGAAGTGCAAACTTAACATCTATTGGCTTTTTTTTACATTAGTTTTGAAAGACAGCATCATGAAATATTCATGGCTCTTGTGCTGATTTCAAAGTATATGGTACAAAGGTCCAAAAATGATAGCCAGGAAACCATAGTAGGATTGAGTTTATGAACTTTGGGTCGCAAGGTGATAGAAGTATTTTTATCTCTGCTCATAAAACATGAGACATAAATAACACCTTGAATCCAACTATCTTCTAGCAAAACGCCTTTATCTATGATATGGAAATCCTGTATGATGAGGAATTAGTTCAAGTAAGAAAGACGAAAAAGAAATATACAACAAAAAAAGTAAATCAAATTTACGTAGGAAAAGTTCAGAACTAAGTACAAAACTCGGGCCATTGGAGCACTCAGTACTTTTTATAAAGTGTCAGATCAAAGGACTCTAGTACCAGTCACACTTATACAGCTTAGGAAGAGGAAACAAGGATCCTAAGTCCCAGTAAATTCAGCATGTTCCAGGACTGTGCACACTGTTAACAGGACTAATGAGCACCTAGATCGCCAACTGGTTTCCTACACATTTGGCTTGATAATTCATAAAAGTTTAGGAGTGGCTTTCAATGACTTCATTGAAATTGTCACAGTATAGACCCACAACAACTCATGCCATATAACTAATAGTTATTTTCCCGTACTTCTCCATTTTTGAGTTATTTTTCTGTCAACAGACTTCTTAATTATCCGGTATAGTCATACATTTCTTCAGCAATAGGAAAGAACAAAAATAAAACCTGGCTAATAGGCCAGGGTTTTTTGTTTGAGTGAAATATCTTCAAGGGACACTGCAGTGTTTGTAAGTTATATCGTTTATCATGTAACTTTGTTTTGACCAATCTACAATATATTGGAATGCCATAAACTATTGTTGCCATCTGGATAGCGAGAATCAAACTAGTTCATGTATTTTTATGGTGCTCTTAACCAAAAATCGTAGAAATAAATTACCCTCTTTGCTTAAATAAAAGCCTAAGCAGTTAACCCGCTAGATGATGATGATGGGGAAAGATCTCGCTGTACACATAAAAAAGGTGTAGGGAAGTTAGTTGTTAGAACACAACTGTCTTGGTCTCTCCAACGATTATTTTCTTGTTGTTTGAGAATGGCTTTCAAAGCTTGCATAAGTAACTGTTCGAAATATTAACTCTTCACAAACTGTACAAGAGCAAGTCTGTATTTAATATTTACTCAACAGCTTTTCAAGTTAATCAACTGATAATTCTCGTCTTGAAGCCTTTCCATGGATCGCGCGCTGAAGAATTGTCAAAATTCATTTTTATACATTTCCAAATTTCAAGGGTTGCCAGGATGTGCGATAAATTAAACGTAACAATAACATTGACATGATTCATAAAATATGAAAACAGCTAAATAAATTTTAAGTTATCCTACTTGAAATAACAGAAAGTTTTAATATTTGTATGTCAAACTCGTTTTACTTTCAATGTTTGTTTCCTGCCCCCACCCCCTCCATTTGGCCCTATACCGCAATTAGTGGACGCTCAAAGAATGAACGATAGTTTTAAAAGCATTGAAGTCTGTAAACAAATTATGAGTATTTATACGGTGAAAGACCTGTCACTCCAACACAAGGATGAGTAATTACACGGTGAAAGACCTGTCACTCCAACACAAGGATGAGTAATTACACGGTGAAAGACCTGTCACTCCAACACAAGGATGAGTAATTACACGGTGAAAGACCTGTCACTCCAACACAAGGATGAGTAATTGCACGGTGAAAGACCTGTCACTCCAACACAAGGATGAGTAATTACAC